GGTATAAATCGATAGTCCCTACTCAGGAGAACTCAGTCGCAGGACTACTCCTCGCAGTTTCAACATCGTCACCGTCATCATTCAATCGAAATAGTGTTACGTGCATTTTATATTTTTGTAATTGTGTGTGACGTCTCCAGAATGAAAAGACCAAGTACGAGTGTCCTACCTACGGAGATTATTATTCACATATTTAAATACGTTCCCATACTATGGAAGATTAAACTGGAAAGAGGTATGGGCATCTTCTCTCGTTGTCTTTATAGAAAGGGGGGGAACATACCTTCATAGTGCCCAATTGGGACAGTTTCAAGTTGATCGCCAGATATGGGTGAATTCGCCAAACATTGGTTCAATTTAATTACGATTTTTTTTTTTTTGGAAAAAGGTGAAATAATTGAATTTGAAAAAATAATAATTAATTCGTTTCATTAGTCCTAGACGCTCTGCTAAATTCGAAACTCATCTTAGTTTGCAGGCAATGGCAGGAGGCGAGCAAAGCTTCCTGGAGCGGTATTAGGCGATTAATTGTCGTTTCTCCCCGTCGGCGCAGAAACTCCCTTGGCATATATGTCCAAAATGATGAAATATATGTCTCAAGATATGACCAAATAATGATGGATGCCATTCTATCTCGTATTGGGCACAACATCACCCATCTATCATTTGAGTTGTTTTCTGTCGATCTGGATAAACATTTCTTCCTACTCATCGCGAAACATTGCACCAATGTGGAGAACTTCAGCAGCAGCGGATGGCAGAAATCAGCAGAGCTGAAGCACTTACTTTCTTGCAATACAAAATTAAGATCCATTTACTTGGATGGAGCAGAGGTGAGTTTAAGCGCATTGCAAGGCCGGAACTGGAAATGTTTGCACTTACTAGGTGGCATGCCGATTTGGGAAAAGGCTTCGAAGGAACGAGTAGTGGAACTCATAAATGGCAGTTCCGATTTGGAAGATTTGAGACTTGACACATGGTCGGAAGAAATTCGTGATGCCGTCGTAAAGAAGTCGAAATTGAAGTCCCTGGGTTATTGCGAAGAATTGTTTCGCTATGGTCGACGTCCGGAGTTAATTAATTTCCAGGGAATGCGATTATTGACGAGTTTGGCCCTATGTGATCTCGGGATAAAGGTGGATTGTGCAGAACGTTTCCTCAGGATGCTCATCCAAATATCCCTGTATTGTCCAAACTTCCAGGAATTATCAATACGAGGTGAAAATTCAATAAAAATGATATACTTCCATGAATTCTTAGTAATTAAGGATAATAATAGTGATAATAATAATGATCATAATAATAATAAGAATCATACTAAAAATACTAATAACAATAACAATAACAATCCATAATAGTAACTACCATAATAATAATATTCTTATTATTATGGTAGATAATAGGAGAAGCGGGGGGTGGTTATTATTATTTCATTGTATATCTATATTGACAAAATTTAAGGGCGATGAGAAACAATATGTAAAAACTCGAGAGGGTATACGGAAGACGAATAATTCTGAATAATTATTTGCATAAAAATGTTTTTGCCTTCATTGCAGAGACGGCGGTATTAAATTCGGCGTATGAAACGATGTTGGCTTTACTAAAACTTCATACCCTGGCCTTAGAAAATATCAAGTCCTTTGATAATGCCATGCTCGTGCGGCTATCAAAGCTTCGCCGGTTAGCAGTGAAGAACGTTGGTTATAGCGTTGAAGGATTGCTGTCGTTTTTGGCCGAAGCCACCGATTTGGAGTATTTGGACATTAGCTGGAGTAGCCTATATATTGCAGAACTGGAGCAGATCATTAATGTTACATTCCATCGAAAGAACAAACTGAAGATCATCGTTCACCAACGTGATATGAATAAAATTGTATCCATGTCTCCAGGAAAACATGTGACGTTCGCCCAGTGGCATTATAAGCAACATACGCATTTCCTGCTCCGTCCATGAATAATTAATATGAATATAAATATGTAAAATCTATGGAATGGCGAATAAAAACGAATTTTGTTGATAAAATAGTTGAGATTTCCAAATACTTGATTCATTTGGTAGTGGGGGGGGGGGCTTGTGTATAGATTGCACAATACACAAGCCCACGTCACCATAACATGATGTTCTATGGTTCTCTGCAGTTTCCCTACTGGCGCAGGTAGGGCTCATCCCCACAATGACAGGTCAATGAGGATTGGTGGCTTTTACAACAAATGGGACTGGAGTTAGTCTGTGGACATTGCTCCCACCAGGTGCACCGCTCAGGTAAACACAGTTCTAGATCGGCGGTCAATCACGGCGGATATCTCACGGAATACGCACAGAAAATTTATAATCAGTTGCAATTTAGCATATATTATTCGGTTTTCGGTGAAAATGCCATCTGAAAGAAAAACAATCAGGGGTCTTACAGACTTTCCACTGGAGTTATTGACGGAAATTTTCAAAAGTGTTCCTCCCACTTCGAAGATTGTACTAGAAAGAGGTATGTTTTTGGGATCTCGTTAATTATTACAAGGGCTGGGAAAATATGCAGTCTTTTCCCGGATCCTGTTACATAGAAAATAGCACTGGAAAATTTTCCTCGGAATGAATTTCTCATCTTGGAAAAAAAAACCAGCAATGTTTTCGACTTTTCAACAACAGCACAGAATTTCCTCAAGCTTCTGGGAAAACACTAAATTTCCCATTACCTGTCGGGTGCTATGCAAAAGCCAAGTGAAAAGCTATCTACTAAATTTTTTTGGATTCTTAAAATAATACGTTACAGATATATGATTTTTTAAAGTTCTTAAATGTCAACAATTTCAAAAAATACCGGGTAAAACAGAAATTTTCTTAAATATCACATGTTTTATATTTTTTTTATAATAATAGGTTTTTAAGCGTTACCGCATAGTGGTAATCAGTCTGGACCTATTTTATTTGGAATCTGTTAATTGTTTCATCTCATTTGCCATTTCATGATGACATTGGATATTCCTACAGCTTATGATATTACATAATACATTTAATGTTTGTAGGAAGTACCCACACGGAGAGAAATCGTAGGTACAATATGACTTCACTGACCAATAAAACTTGAATGGGCGTTCCACCACGGTATCACCCTGCGGTGCACATGCTTTCGCTTTATCCCCACCATATCATTCGAATAACGCGCGAGAATGGATGATCGGCACAAAATCGACAACTGGAGAAATTTAGTATCTCGCTGAAACAATGGAAGCGGGTTGAAACGGTTACATCGATATTAAACAATACCGAAAGACCATTTCTTCGATACTGATAAGTGAGAATGACGATTTGAAGCTCCATGAGAGCATTTCTGATGAGCTCAAACAATACTTTTAAATAACAAATGCTTTGTGGAATACTTTATGTATAATTAGTGTTTATGGACAATTCTTCCAATATAAAGATTAAAACCAATATTGAATGGTTTTTTCATGAATTTAATGCTTTTCCCAGTTCTTGTTTTACGCTTCCTAGCAAGAATAAATGAAACTGAAGGAAATTGTCAAATGAGCAGGTTTCGAAAACATAAACCAGTTTGCTCTACTGCGTTCCTTTCCGTTTATTGGATTTTATTTATCATGATTTCAATTATCTTATTGCCTCAAATATAATTGATTTTCAATTGACAAAATCATTGAGAGCCAATTTGAGTCACGAAATCACGTCGCGAGCCACGTGAAGTCATTGACGTTAAAACTTCAATTCAATTCATTTTCTTAATCAATTCCATTTTTATTTTTATTTTCAATTGTTTTCAAATGGAAAAATAAATCGCAGATTTACTTTAAATTGAAATAAATTTCACATCAGTTTATCTTTTTAATTTTTTCAAAATTTTAATGCATAAGCGTTTTTATTGAGATTTAAATTAACAAATTAAATTTGAATTTGGTGAGAAATTATAATACCCTGCATTGACTATTTTAATCCCAATGGGCATTTCTCAATATCGCAACATATTGCAGTAACATCTTGTGCTCAGCATAAAGATTCACTTTGTTATCGATATCCACCCACTGCATACTTTACAAGCATCATCCCCAGCACTGAGTGGAATTGAATTAAATATAGTTCCATTATTATCATAAAAATTGACAGCGGTAGTTTCCATGAATTCAAATAAATCCCCGTGCATAGAATATACACCCATACAATAAACCCTTTAAATATATCAACATAACTCCAACAATGATTCTGCCCATAACAATAACATTCTACCATAACAACACCATAACAACACCACATACACTAACGACATTTGTACGGCGAGCGATCGACAGGTTTTAAATTAGCGCGCATTTTGAAACAATTACGCAATGGGGATTTTATTTTTTGTTTTTCATTCGCCATTACCCTAATAACATCTTCAAATGTTAACTCTTCTGAGTGGGTTTCCTCAAAAGCTCGTGCTTTTTCTGAGTTATATGTTTGGGATTTTATTTTTAGCTGTTCATTCGCCATTATCCGAACAACATCTTCAAATAGTAGCTCCTCTGAATGGGTTTCCTCGGATAACCCTTCCATCATCCTCGATGAAAGAGACTCCCTGCACGATTCCCCATCAGAGAGCCGAGAAGGCTGGAGTCCTGGACCTGTGCTCCACGATTCCAGTGGGCAATCGACGGGTTGCAAAATTCTCGGCTTTAAAATGCTTCGCATCCTCAAGCCGCAACCAGCCACCGCTGGTTGATTTATCGACACTCTGAGGACGTCATCAGTGAAAACAACTGGGGAGTGTGTGACTACCGCTTCCGTGTTATCAGAGTCCGAAGAGTGTTGAGTCGTCATTTGCTACCACGAACTGCTGATATTGGTAATCTTGTTTCAAACTATCGCCATGAACAAGCACCGTTAAAAAATCGATCGGTTGTGGTAGCCGCCCATTATCGAACCACTTAATGGCATTCTCCACTGCATCTTCAACCTTATGCCACTTCGGGAGTTCAACACTGTCATCGAAGGCATTCATAACGCCAGTCTGGAAGATGGCAATATTCCTGATAAATTGCCAAGGTGTGGGATTGCTCTTTATGGCTNCTCAAATCCTGAGTGATCATTTCCGAGGGTAGATGGGGTAACTTCGTAAAGAATGTAATTATCTCCTTCAGCTCCTGTCTCAGTTTCTCTTCCTGAGGAGACAAATTTTTTTTTCTCAATCCTCGGAAAACTCCTTTTTTCTTAGATTATCTCCACACGGCTTGGGCAAAGTGGAAAAGACAAGGGACTATCTCTACTCGGGGCAGCAACTTACGAAACGCATTATGCTCCGCCTTTTCGAAATCACAGTGAATTTTTCCGAGTTTGTCCCGTAAATCTGGAGCTAGTTCCGAAAATACGTATTTCAGTATGGC